CAATGAACTAGAAACCAAAAGAACAGGAGAACAGATCAACGAAACTAGGAGCTGGTTCTTTGAAAGAATTAACAAGATTGATAAACCCCTGGCCAGACTTATCAAAAAGAAAAGAGAAATGACCGAAATCAACAAAATCATGAATGAAAGAGGAGAGATCACAACCAACACCAAAGAAATACAAAGGATTCTAAGAACGTATTATGAGCAACTGTATACCAGCAAATTAGATAACCTGGAAGAAATGGGTGCATTCCTAGAGATGTATCAACTACCAAAATTGAACCAGGAAGAAATAGAAAACCTGAACAGACCTATAACCACTAAGGAAATTGAAGCAGTCATCCAAAATCTCCCAAGAAACAAAAGCCCAGGGCCAGATGGCTTCCCAGGGGAATTCTATCAGACATTTCAAGAAGAATTAATACCTATTCTCCTGAAACTGTTCCAAAAAATAGAAATGGAAGGAAAACTTCCAAATTCATTTTATGAGGCCACCATTACCTTGATCCCAAAACCAGACAAAGATCCCATCAAAAAGGAGAATTATAGACCAATATCCTTGATGAACATGGATGCAAAAATTCTCACCAAAATACTAGCCAATAGGATCCAACAGTACATTAAAAGGTTTATTCACCATGACCAAGTGGGATTTATCCCTGGGCCGCAAGGTTGGTTCAACATCCGCAAATCAATCAACGTGATACAATACATTAACAAAAGAAAGAACAAGAATCATATGATCCTCTCAATAGATGCAGGAAAAGCATTTGACAAAGTACAGCATCCTTTCTGGATCAAAACTCTTCAGAGTATAGGGATAGAGGGAACATACCTCAATATCATAAAAGCCATCTATGAAAAACCTACAGCGAATATCATTCTCAATGGGGAAAAGCTGAAAGCTTTTCGCCTAAGGTCAGGAACGCGGCAGGGATGTCCACTCTCACCACTGCTAGTCAACGTAGTATTAGAAGTCCTAGCCACAGCAATCAGACAACAAAAAGAAATCAAAGGCATCCAAATCGGCAAAGAGGAAGTCAAACTCTCACTCTTTGCAGATGATATGATACTGGATGTGGAAAACCCAAAAGACTCCACCCCAAAACTGCTAGAACTCATACAGGAATTCAGTAAAGTAGCAGGATATAAAATCAAGGCACAGAAATCAGTGGCATTCCTATACACCAACAAGACAGAAGAGAGACAAATCAAGGAGTCGATCCCATTTACAATCGCACCCAAAACCATAAGATACCTAGGAATAAACTTAACCAAAGAGGCAAAGGATCTGTACTCAGAAAACTATAAAATACTCATGAAAGAAATTGAGGAAGACACCAAGAAATGGAAAAACGTTCCATGCTCATGGATTGGAAGAACAAACATTGTGAAGATGTCAATGCTACCTAGAGCAATCTACACATTCAATGCAATTCCCATCAAAATACCACCCACTTTTTCCAAAGAAATGGAACAAATAATCCTAAAATTTGTATGGAACCAGAAGAGACCCCGAATAGCCAGGGGAATATTGAAAAAGAAAAGCAAAGCTGGTGGCATCACAATTCCAGACTTCCAGCTCTATTCCAAAGCTGTCATCATCAAGACAGTATGGTACTGGCACAAAAACAGACACATAGATCAATGGAAGAGAATCGAGAGCCCAGAAATGGACCTTCAACTCTATGGTCAACTCATCTTTGACAAAGCAGGAAAGAATGTCCAATGGAAAAAAGACAGTCTCTTCAACAAATGGTGTGGGGAAGATTGGACAGCCACATGCAGAAGAATGAAACTGGACCATTTCCTTACACCACACACAAAAATAGACTCCAAATGGTTGAAAGACCTAAACATGAGACAGGCGTCCATCAAAATCCTAAAGGAGAACACAGGTAGCAACCTCTTCGACCTCAGCCGCAGCAACTTCTTCCTAGAAACATCACCAAAGGCAAGGGAAGCAAGGGCAAAAATGAACTATTGGGATTTCATCAAGATAAAAAGCTTTTGCACAGCAAAAGAAACAGTCCGCAAAACCAAAAGACAACCGACAGAATGGGAGAAAATATTTGCAAATGACATATCAGATAAACGGCTAGTGTCCAAAATCTATAAAGAACTTACCAAACTCAACACCCAAAGAACAAATGATCCAATCAAGAAATGGGCAGAAGACATGAACAGACATTTTTCCAAAGAAGACATCCAAATGGCCAACAGACACATGAAAAAGTGCTCAACATCGCTCGGCATCAGGGAAATCCAAATCAAAACCTCAATGAGATACCACCTCACACCAGTCAGAATGGCTAAAATTAACAAGTCAGGAAACGACAGATGTTGGCGGGGATGTGGAGAAAGGGGAACCCTCCTCCACTGTTGGTGGGAATGCAAGCTGGTGCAGGCACTCTGGAAAACAGTATGGAGACTCCTCAAACAGTTGAAAATAGAGCTACCCTACGATCCAGCAACTGAACTACTGGGTATTTACCACAAAGATACAAATGTAGGGATCCGAAGGGGTACATGCACCCTGGTGTTTATAGCAGCAATGTCCACAATAGCCAAACTGTGGAAAGAGCCAAGATGTCCATCGACAGATGAATGGATAAAGAAGAAGTGGTATATATACACAATGGAATATTATGCAGCCATCAAAAAGGAGATCTTGCCATTTGCAATGACGTGGATGGAACTGGAGGGTGTTATGCTGAGTGAAATAAGTCAATCAGAGAAAGACATGTATCACATGACCTCACTGATATGAGGAATTCTTAATCTCAGGAAACAAACTGAGTGTTGCTGGAGTGGTGGGGGGGTGGGAGGGATGGGGTGCTGGGTGATAGACATTGAGTAGGGTATGTGCTATGGTGAGCGCTGTGAATTGTGCAAGACTGTTGAATCACAGATCTGTACTTCTGAAACAAATAATGCAACATATGTTAAGAAAAAAGAAAAAGCAGAAGATAGCAGGAGGGGAAGAATAAAGGGGAGTTAAGTGGGAGGGGGAGAGGAACCATGAGAGACGATGGACTCTGAAAAACAAACTGAGGGTTCTAGAGGGGAGGGGGAGGGGGATGGGTTAGCCTGGTGATGGGTATTAAAGAGGGCACATTCTGCGTGGAGCACTGGGTGTTATGCACAAACGATGAATCATGGAACACTACATCAAAAACTAATGATGTAATGTATGGTGATTAACATAACAATAAAAAAAGATATATTGGGGACCTTGTGAAGAAGAATTCCCCCAAGTCTATATGTATTGTAGGCATGTCTGATGGCAAGTACTTGGCTTGGCTTCTGGGCTGGAGACTCTACTAAAAGTTCAATCTAGATTCCTTACAAAAGTTCCAGCAAAGCAGACTTTAAAAGATCTATATGGATGGGGTGCCTGGGTGGCTCAGTCGGCTAAGTGTCTGCCTTGGGCTCAGGTCATGATCCCGGGGTCAGGATGCAGGATCATGCAGGGCTCCCGACTCAGCGGGGAGTCTGCTTCTCCCTCTGCCCCTCCCCTGCTCATGTTCTTTCTCTCTCTCTTTTTCTCTCTCAAATAAATAAAAGTAAATTTAAAAAGATCTATATGGCCAATTGCTATTCTTGCTGACCTTATGTAAGTAATTAGGCCAGATTTGTTAAAACTGGACTTGTTTTGCAAACAAATTAGTTCTCATTTGGCTATCTCTGATTAAAAATGAGGGTTACTATAGAGCAAAATTTGTTTTAATAATCCACCTTTGTGGATGTTAAATTCCAGTTCTGTCTTTTTTTTTTTTTTACAGATTTTATTTATTTATTTGACAGAGAGACACAGAGAGAGGGAACACAAGCAGGGGGAGTGGGAGAGGGAGAAGCAGGCTTCCCACTGAGCAGGGAGCCCGATGCAGGGCTCGATCCCAGGACCCTGGGATGGTGACCTGAGCTGAAGGCAGATGCTCAATGACTGAGCCACCCAGGCGCCCCTCCAGTTCTGATTGTCTTTAAATGATTGTTGTTTGCCTAAACTAGACAACTCGAGGTCCGCTTCAAAAAATTGCTCCAAAACTCATGTATAGACAGTCTTTGGGCCTGTTGCTCTATGGGCCATTCAAAAGGATCCCTCAACCTCCTTTGAAGACACTTCCACTTTTTTTTTTTTTAAAGATTTTATTGATTTATTTGACAGAGAGGTAAGAGAGAGTGAGCACAAGCAGGGGGAGTAGCAGGCAGAGGGAGAGGGAGAAGCAGGCTCCCCATCAAGAAGGGAGAAGTAATCTTGGTGCTATCATGGTGGTAATATCAAGAAGATTTAAGTTCCCTGGTTAGTGTTCTATAAAAGACTGACCATAAAAGCCCACTGTGGCACCCCATTCGAGACCCCTCTCCCTCTAGAGAGCGTTCTTTCTGTTCTCACCTTCCCTTAATAAACTATCACTTTACCCTTTTGTATCCACAAGATGAGATTCATTCTTCCACTCCACCAGACAAGGACTCTGTAACCCTATAACATCAAAAGAATCCTGAGGAAGTCATTGACAGGCATGCTCTAGAATTTACACATTAATTCATTCAGGTCTACTGCCCTATCATGCTCTTTCCCCTTACTTTGCTTTATTTTCTCATAAAATTTACTACTTGCTACTTGATTTTAAAAAATAACATTTTTATGGAGATGTAATTCATATATCATACAATTCATCTATTTAAAGGGTATCATACACTGGTTTTTAGTGTATTCACAAGGTTGTGCAACGATTACCACAATCCAATTTTAGAACATTTTAATCACCCCAGAAAGAAACTCTGTACCCATTAGCAATCACTCCTCATTACCCCCTCTCCCTAGGTTGGCAACGACCATCCGTTTTCTGTCTCTGTGAATCTTTGTATTCTGGGCGTTTCAGAAAAATGGAATCATACAATATGTGGTCATTTGTGACTGTGTTATTTCATTTCATGTAGTGTTTTCAAGGTTAAGGTATGTATGTAAGCATGTATCAGTAATTCATTTCTTTTATTGCTAAATAATATTTCATTGTATAAATCCATTCATTAGTACATGGACATTTTGCTACCTGAATTAATGTTTATTTTCTGTTTCCCACACTTAACTATGAATTCTATGAGCAAAAGAACATTTTTTTTTTTACCACTTTATGCCTAGAATCTTGCCCAGCATCTGACATGTGATGAGATCAATACATTTGTTTAATGATCTAATCATTCATTCCCGTAACCAACATTTGCTAAGCAACTCCCCCACCACCACATTTGTGTTCAACATTGGGATCGTCTTCAAGAATCTCATAATCTAATGAAGTACCACCTGTGCAAACAAATAATTAAAAGAAGATGGATTTTAATAAAGGGTATGGACAAAGCAGGGTGCATAGACAAAAGGTTCAGGTTTGCTTGAGAGACTCAGCAGGACTTCCTAGCAAAGAACTTCATCTGAGATTTACAAAAATAGGACGTTGCCAGAGTGAGCCATCAACCACGAGGGTATTTAAGGGTTTTTAAGCAAAGTCCAGTAGCAGTGCTGGAACTCTTGTGAAGTGGGGAGGCATCCCACAGAGGATGAACTGGGCCAGCAGGCAACGTTCAAATCAGAAAGAATTCTATATGCTCAAAGGATTAAGGATTATTTTTCCAGATCCTGAAGAAACTGGCAAAAATGGTGGTATCTGAGGGTGGGCTGTGGAACTGAAACGAAGAGTGGGAGAAAGAGAGACTGGCAAACTTTTAAAAACCAGACACATGTTCTTTCCATTAAAAAATGCATTTAAAATGTTCTGCTTCTGATGATGGGAATCCACTGTATAATTTTGAACAGGACGTGCGGGAACGTTTCTCCGGGGGTAGCGGGAAGTGAGGCGGGCAGGCAGCCGGCTAAGAAGGGAGTGGCAACCAGGATCGTTTCCTCCTCCTTGGCATCCCCGACACTCGCAGTCAGTAACTGAGGGGTGACATGTGGAAACGTGTTGGAAACACTGACAACCCCCAGGAGTGAGTGGGGAGGGAGGCTAGGGCGGGCGCTGGGTCGGACTCTCAGTGCTGGGAGAGACTCTACCCTCTGGGGGCGGGTTGGGGGAAACACAGCCTCAAGACTCTTCCTGGCTGATGCAATCTGCGAGAGCCCGCGATCTCGGCTGCTAGAGGGCCAGGCTGCCATCCCGCCCGCCACGTGTAGCTGCCGCCACCCCGGCCGCTTCCGCAGGCACTCGTTCCCGCCGCCCCCGCCGCGCGCACCCCACGAGGGCTGGGACGCACCCGGCTTGCCCTCCGCGCAGTTGCCCCGGTCCCCACGGCCCACCGAACCATGAAGGTAACTGCTTACGATTTTGGCTGTATTTTACAAAAAACCGTGTGTGTGGATCGAGCCTGCGATTCCTCAGAGACACAGTTGGCAGAGAGGGGACGGAAGAAAGACTACCGTGGTGTTTCCACGCAAACGTTTTTCGGACTTTCTTTGTCGGTCCTCGTTGGTCGGGACCTTCCATTCTTTTCTTTTCAAACTTGCTCGCAGGATGTGCCTCCTCAGGCTTTTTCCCTACTGCATGGGTGAGCGGAGATGAAAGGCTGCTCGCAGCTCCCTTCCCTACCTGTTTTTTAAGTTTGGAAAGGAAGAGGAAGCTTTTTTTTTTTTTTTTTTTCAATTGCTAAGATGCACAGGAGGTGGGGGAATTTGGGGGAAGAGGTCTTGGGGTGTTTCTGGCTGTAAACAGGGGTTTCCTGGTGGGTGTATAGAATGAAGGAGGGAGGTGCAGAGCCAGGGGATGAGGGTGGGAGAAGGGAGGGAAAACGGCCTCATCGCTATTAAAAGCAGAAGGCTTAGTCTTTTGCTTGTGGAAATTAAAAGCATCTACGAGTTACAAATCATGTTAGCCTAAGGGCATTCTTTTATTAAACTAAGTGAGCCGCCCTAATGGTTTTCGTTCTTATGCTAATCAAGGATAATTAGCCCATCGGCCTATTCTGATGGTTTAGGTGTAGGAAAAACACGGGTGTCTTCCTGTTCTTACACTTTGGAAAACTGCAATGACGTTAAAAACTGACGAGCAGCTTTTTTAAAAGAAAGTGAAGAGGAGCCGGTAGCCCTGCCATCTAACTCTCTTGGGAAGCGGCTCCTGGGTGGCTCAGTCAGTTAAGTGTCTGCTTTCGGCTCAGGTCCTGATCATAGGGTCGTGGATTCGAGCCCCGAGTGGGGCTCCCAGCTCAGCGGGGAGCCTGCTTCTCCCTTTGCCCCTCACCCCGCTGGTGCGCTTTCTCTCTCAAATAAATGAATAAAACTCTTAAAAAAAAAAAAGTCTTGGGTGGAAGAGGTAGGCAACCTGAACTTTTACGAGAAATAAACCCACGTTTCAGCATTTTGAAGGAGGAAGATTGAAGTAAGGTTCTCAACTGCCCTTATCCACAAGCCATCCCAACCCACAATTTCACTTACAAGAAGTAATATGTAAATGGTGCCTCTTTCACCAAAAAAAATTTCTGCTAAGATTAATCGGGAACTGAGTGAAAACACTGTTTTGTGTTAAAACGAGATCATGCAATTGCACCACAGTGAACAATTTAGCAGCCTTTCCTTCCATAGTCAGATATTCTATTTCTGCCCTGCTCATTCCTGTCTAATTTCAACTGAAAAATACACTCTGATCACATTGAGGGTTAGTGAGTAATAGGAGAGAATTATGAGAATAAACACTCTTGCTTTTCCAGGTTTCCCTGTGCTATGTGAAGTTGTAGTTGATTATACATTTTTGTAAATTCATGGATGCTTTAACATGAGTCCAAAAACCCCTATCCCTTTTATAAGGTACTTTTATAACACAGGAAACTAGAAGATATTTTCAAGTAGTCTCATATCTCTTTTCTGATATTTTACTGAGATTGGGAAAGAAAAGATTGTTTTCTAGGCATTGATGTGGGGAAAAAGACAGAAGAAAAATTATTAAATTTCCTTACTACTTAGAGCTCACTGGCAAGTCCTTGAAACAGGCAGAGTGACATTCCTCTAAGGACTCAAAAGCCTCAATGTTAATACTTTGCTAAGGGCAAAAGGCAATCCCGACCCCCCCCCCCCCCCCAACCAGGATCCTGTAAATCTACTTTAACATATAAAAATTCCTTTAGAAATTTCCTTTATCTCTAAACCCCCCAAGATACGTGTTGGCAATCATCCCCCAAGCATATGGCCCACCGATATACATCTGCAGGGTCTCATGACTAAGGTTTTATTAGACGGTAATAAATGACCTCTTCCGCAACAATAGCTAGCCCCCTCAAGGTCCTGGAAACCTTGCTTCCAAAATTCCTTAGAGATTTCCACGATCCCTAACCCCCTCCCAACTTGAAAGTATATAATGGGCTGCTCCCCATGACCCCAGTGCAGCTCTTTCTGCCCACGGGTCCTGTCCCCTGTGCTTTCATAAAACCACCTTTTCGTACCAAAGACTTCTCAAGAATTCTTTCTTGGTTTTGTTTTTTTTTTTTTAGATTTTATTTATTTATTTGACAGAGACACAGCTAGAGAGGGAACACAAGCAGGGGGAGTGGGAGAGGGAGAAGCAGGCTTCCCGCCGAGCAGGGAGCCCGACGTGGGGCTCGGTCCCAGGACCCTGAGGACCCCGAGATCACGACCCGAGCAGAAGGCAGACGCTTAACAACTGAGCCACCCAGGCGCTCCAAGAATTCTTTCTTGTTATGACAAAAACTTTTCTACCTTCCTCTCACCTATTATTATTATTATTTTTTAAAATTTTATTTTGTTATGTTAGTCACCATATAATACATCATTAGTTTTTGATGTAGTGATCCACGATCCATTGTTTTCGTATAACACCCAGTGCTCCGTGCAGTACGTGCCCTCCTTAATACCCATCACCGGGCTAACCCATCCCCCCTCCCCCCTCCCCTCTAGAACCCTGTTTGTTTCTCAGAGTCACCTATTATTATTTTTTAAATGTTATTTGCACTTGGCACCAAGATAGGCTCTGTCCTTGACACATTTTCCAGACGTGGCTCCCTTCCCAGGGGAGCATATATTTTAAGATGGACACATAAAGCATGGGCTACTGAATAAGAAAACTAGCATATACATCAAAGAGAATTTGTATAAGAATAGTGAGTACATATTATGATTGACTAAATAAGGGTGGAGATTGAAAAGAGTCATATATCTAAAGGGACAGAGACAAGAGAAGTCATTGTTAGGGATGTATAGTCAAGTGAAGGAAGTGAGAGAGTTTGACTGGCAGCAAGGGTAGAGAAGGCTGTTTGTGTGTGTGCAGAGGGTAGGACCTGGGGCCTGGCAGGGAGAGTGGTTTACTTTTCAGACCCAGGATGTGGCCCCTCAGGCAAGACTCAGGGATGCATATCTAGTGCAGCAGGCCCAACAAAAGGGCATTGGTAGAAACTGGTGGTGAGAAAAAAGGAAAAAGGGAGGGAAAAATAAAAGACAAGAATTTATTTTGGGCTTATATTTCATTTAGTGAGTTTCCATAATAAATCATTTCATTTGATTTTAAAACTGCAGAGAGAAAGGAAGGAAAGAAAATTTTCCATTTGTGTGCAAGAATTTCTCTTGCCCAGTCAGCTCATTGAACCCCCAAGAAGGTCTAATGATTTGAAATGGGTTTAAAACCTTATGAAAGAAAGTTCAAAACAGTCATTTGATTATTATAGAGATTTATGCTAAGAATGAAAAACAAGTTGTGGTTTCTTTCCGTAGCTGTGTATTTTTTTCATTGTTTTCATAATTTTAGATTTTATCCCTTATTTCAGGTCAGGCATGTTAGTTCTGTAGGGGAGGAAAAATAATTTTCCCTCTACCCTTCTAGGTTCTTGGCTGAGACCCCCTTGTCATAAAACACAGGTTAACAGGAGAAAAACAAACAAACGTTTAATAAATGTGTACCTCCTGTATACATAGGAGATATCCAGGAAAAGTAACTCCCCAAAATGGCCCAAGCTACCACCTTAAATATCATCTTCAGCTAAAGACAAAGGAAAGAGGCTAGGATGTGGTGAGAGGGGGAGCCAGGCTGGGAAATTTTTAGGCAGAGCACAGTAAGCAACGTAAGGTTGCAGATTTAAATCAGTACTTTCTCCACTGATAAGTGTTTTGACACTTAGTTATCCTTCTCTTCAGAGAAGAGACAGCCTGTACAGAGGTGGGGGTCTCCCTGAAAAATGGAGGTTTCCCTTATAAATGTAGATTTCCCTCAGAAAATGGCAACTTCCACTCTGTTTTCAGAGATTGTCCTGTGTCTGAGACCTCTCAAAAATAACCCTTCCAAAATAATTATTATGCCAACGAGGCAAATTTTTGGCATGGCATATTCTACTCCCTTTCAGCTTATTTCTAATATCAAGATATAAACCAGCAAAGTGAACAGCTCGGTAGTAGTGTTATTGACCTGAGAGGTCTGGGCTTATGAATAACTATTTCTGTGCATCAGTGAAAATTTGTTTCCAAACTGGCCATCTTCAGTGTTTGGGTTGGTTATATCTTTTGGGGTTTCATGTTGTCTGCTTCTTCAAATGACCTTTTCTCAGTGTAAGAAGATGGAAATTAAGAGCTTTCTCTTTTTCCCTTTAGGCTTGGCAACCACAACTCCTATAAATAACAGATGCCACCCTAGGGAAACCCAGTGGAATGTTCACCCATCTGCCTAAGGGGATTTGGTTATCATATGATGGAGAGAATCTAAGACCGTCCATGATAGACATTATTATCCCAGGCATCCTCTACTTTCTATATGGTACCATCATTCTTTCTGAGCACAGGAGGAAACTGGTCTGCTCACTTTACAGTTGTTAATGTGGGCAGTCGGTGTTGTAACTTTATTCCCTCAACAGCTGTCCAAATGCACTAAACATTTAACATAACATATGGTAAACATTCCTACTGATAGGCTTTCCGGAGCCTCTGTAGCCCATTTGGTAATGCATGTTAGTGCCCATTCAACTAACACCTCTGATACTGGATTCTGCATAAATCAACTGAGACATAAATGTGAGGTGCAACTCAGGTTTTTTAAGTGTTTTAAAATTAAGCATTCGGGATGCTCTGATTTACAAATATAACTTTGCAAATATTTGCAAACATCTTAATCCTAAGATCTGGTCTGATTCACAGCAGCAGTAGTGAATGCAAAGGCAAAAGCAGAATCGATAACATCAGGGTTCAAGTGCCAATTGCACCTATGCTTCTGATTAGTCCTCTCAAATCCACAAGCTGAAGAATATTACCTCTAGAAATTGAGCATTTTTATTTTATTTATTTATTTTTTCCTTTTTTTATTATGTTATGTTAATCACCATACATTACATCATTAGTTTTTGATGTAGTGTTCCATGATTCATTGTTTGCATATAACACCCAGTGCTCCATTCAATATGTGCCCTCTTTAATACCCATCACCAGGCTAACCCATCCCCCCACGCTCCTCCCCTCTAGAACCCTCAGTTTGTTTCTCAGAGTCCATAGTCTCTCATGGTTCGTCTCCCCCTCCGATTTCCCCCCTTCATTCTTCCCCTTCTGCTATCTTCGTCTTCTTCTTCTTTTTTTAAACATATATTGCATTATTTGTTTCAGAGGTAC